AATTAAACTGTATGCCAATTAATTGCTTAATAAATGCTCCAGCAGAATCCGAAATTGCTACACTTCTATTGTTATTAGTTAATTTATAATTAATTTTTAAAAAATGTTAGTATCGAATAGAGTCGAATAGTCGTAGAATAGATGCCTAATGACATAAAACAAAAAAAAATATTGATGGGTGAGTTTTGAAATTATGGATTCTTATGAATGGATTAGACAACCATGTTAATAATATTTTTGTGTTTTTGCCATCTAGAGTCTTTTTTACGTACCACCTTGAGAGTCAATCAATTTTTGTTCGATAAAATGACTTTAACTATAGAATGTTACTATATTCTATTGATGATGGCGCTATTACTCAAATAGGATCACTCTATCTCAAAATTAATTATAAATTAACTAATAGCAAAAGACAGAAAAATTACGGTTTCTACTGGAACATTTAAGGAGCAATTCAATGACATACAGTTTAATTTTATAAAGTACATATTTTATGTTTTATAGCAAAATTAAATTTTCGATACTTAAATGTTTTAAAAATTATTTATAAATTAATTAATAGCAATAGAGGTAAAGCAATTTCTGATTCTGCTGGAGCATTTAAGGAGCAATCAATTGGCATAAAGTTTAATTTAAAAAAATGATATTTTATGTTTTATAGCAAAATTAAATCTTCGATACTTAATTTATTTTAAAAATAATTATAAATTAACTAATAATAATATAGGTGGAGCAATTTCGGATTCTGCTGGAACATTTAAGGAGCAATTAATTGGCATACGGTTTAATTTTAAAAAGTAGATATTTTATATTTTATAGTAAAATTAAATTTTCGAAACTAAAATATTTTAAAATTTTAATTTTAAATTAACTTATAACAATAGAGGTGGAACAATTTCAGATTCTGTTGGATCATTTAAGGAGCAATTAATTGGTATACAGTTTAATTAAAAAAAATAGATATTTTATATTTTATAGCAAAATAAATTTTCGATACAAACATTTTTTTTAAAATTTATTATAAATTAACTAATAACAATAGAGGTGGAAAAATTTCGGATTCTGCTGGAGCATTTATAAAGCAATTAATTGGCATACAGTTTAATTTTAAAAAGTAGATATTTTATATTTTATAGCAAAATTAAATTTTCGATACTTAAATTTCTTAAAATATTATTTTAAATTAACTAATAACAATAGAGGTAGAGCAATTTCAGATTCTGCTGGAGCATTTAAGGAGCAATTAATTGGCATACGCTTTAATTTTAAAAAGTAGATATTTTAAATTTTATAGCAAAATTAAATTTTCGATACCTAAATTTTTTTTAAATTAATTATAAATTAACTAATAACAATAGAGGCGGAGCAATTTCGGATTCTGCTGGAGCATTTATAGAGCAATTAATTGGCATACAGTTTAGTTAAAAAAAGAATGTTCTACGCTAACTTCCATCTGGTGGATTTTTGTCTTTCCTTTAAATGCGCACACAGTCAGCTTAGCTTAGTAACTGTATGCTGTAGACTATAGACACCTACATGTATACTATATTAAAAACATCAAAATACAAATGCGTTGTCACTTTTGTGGACTGAGATGGATATTTAGGGTCTGACTTAACTAAGTAATAGGCGAATATATCCGTTTGCTTTTAGGCAGGCATATGTCTGGTTGATTGCTATTTCCTTAAGACTATTGTTGTAATATATTTAAATTAAAAAAAATGTATACTCGTATTTACATGTTGCCATAATTTTCTATTGCATAATTATTTATATTTGACCTAAAACGGATTCCTACGGCCTCAAAAGAGCAAATGAAGTGCCTTATTTCAATAATTAATTCATAGACGATTTGATTCAGATGACGACCGAATTATTATTATGTAAACGATTCTCTGCTTCAGGTCGTCTATGCGCTTCGTCAGTTTTTGCGTAATATCCATCTTGGATAAACTGACTCATCAAAAATGCCACCCTGACTTTGCATTTGACATTTGCTCTTATATACCATACTGACTATACCATTATCGTCTGAGTCAACCACAAGGATGGCGGCATCTACGGGTGCGAGTTGCTCTGCAACTCGTATAGCCGCTTCTCCTGTCGTATTATTTTCATTCGAAGAGGAAATAGCCTCATAACCTAGACGTTCGAGTTCGGCGTCAATGAATATTTTTAAGTGAATGATGTGCCGAACTCGGTCTGCTAGGTTTTGCTCGGTGTCGGTAATAGATGGTTCCAGATTAGCAAAAAAGCGATGCATCGTAGCCCAATACGTAAAACCTCCAACGTCCTTTTCGCCCTTAAATATGCCCGCAATGCATTCTTATTATTTTCAATTGTCCATTGTCCAAACTTAGCTGAACAAGCGCTATAATCAAAATATCTAATATTTCCCAGTGAATGTGTTTTTATATTTATATTGTTGAATATCGTAGATTTTTATGAAGGCATACATATTTCATAAGTAGCGCGACGGATTTCTTCCTACTCTATATACGTGGTTTTCGTAGGAGGCAACTATATGAAATGCCAAAATCTTTAGTGCATTTCGATAGATAGCATTGTACTATCTCCTTTACTAACTAGACTGTCGACGGACATCAGTGTTAAGGATACGAAATTGCAGTTGCCAATTCGAATAGTTAAGACAGATCTTCCCTGCAACATAACTTATCTACAAAAATATCTAGCAGTGAACTTTTATGGGCTCCTAAAAACCCAAACCTATAAAAATTAGGCAGTAGACGAAAACTGTGTGTAAATAATAGGTATATTATACATAATATGTGAAGGTGTAAAACGTTTTGAATTAATTAATCACTGTCACTCGTTAACTTCCCCAACCTCATTGTTGTAACAATTTAGTTAACCGCATACTGGTTACTCGAAACTTTCATTATTCGCTTTGTATTGCTGACAAATTACTATAAATACATTAACTTATAATTTTCAAGTAAACGACATTACAAAAAGCTTCTAACGTTATTATATTGCATCGAGAGTACTGCTACCATGTATAAATGTATGTATATTGAGTCACCGGTCTGTGATAAATGGTAATTGGCTTATTGGTGACTTGAATTTTATTAAATAAAATATAGAGTGAATACGCCTTTGTAAATGTAGTCACTGCTCTTCAACATCCATCGGTGTACTATTAGGTATGATAGTAGTAGAGCCAAACAATAGCTTTTACCTTTAATGTAGTAAAAAACGTATATATGTGCATATGTGTGTATAAAATAATATGTAAATTCTCGTCGCTTATGCCTTGAAGTTTCAGAGAAAAAAATAAAAAAGAACATCCAGTACTTTTGTTACAAAAAAGCGAATACAGCTAGGGCGTACCCCAGAAGCGACGTGAGTGAAGAAAATGCGAAATATGCGAATAATAAAGAATATAAGCCCGTAAGCGACGAATATGACAAGAACGAAAATTCGCATATTTTAATACAATCTATAAAATATTAGTTACGTGGAATTTGGGCACACTAGCAGGAAGGGGCCAAGAGCTGGAGAAAGTATTACAAGCACGAAAAATTAACATATACTGCCTACAAGAGACTAACTGGAAAGGATCGGAGTCACGAGATCTGGGACTCGGATACCAGCTCTTGTACTGTGGCAATACTAGCATGCGTAACGGAGTTGCCATCATCTTGGATGAAAACCTCAAACAACTTATTATTAACATAGATAGAAGGAACGAGCGATCGACTTATGACAGTGAAATTGGCTATGGATAACCAACCCACCTTGAACATAATCTCTCACTAAATCTCGGAACACCTAGTCACATAAAAAAGCGGGGACAAACAATCTCAAATTGACTATATCCTCACAAAAAGAGATTTACTAAGGACTTTGAGACACTGCAAGGTAATACCGGGCTAATTTTGTCCTCACAGCACAAAGTTTTGGTCGGCTCTATATCGATTATCAAGCCCATATAATACACCATGGTCAAAATAGCCAAAATTAAGTGAAACCTGTTAAACACAGAAAAAAAAGTCAAATTACTGAAGGAGATACGGGACATACTACTTAAAGATATGAAAAGTGGCAATAACATCTCTGCGGAGAATAAGTGGTCTAATTTTGAAAAGCTATGCAGAAATTCAGCTGAGAAAAACCTAGGAATATCGAGAAGAAAGCTGCATAATAACAAAGATACTTCATGGTGGAATAAAGAAGTAAAAGGCGCGTTAAGGAACAAGAAAGAGTGCTTCAAAAAATGGCAGAGCGCAGGTTTAGACAACGAGCGCATGCTATATAAAACCGCTAAAATCCTGGCGAAGTTTAAAGTGGCAAAACAAAGAAATGACTCCAAAGAATAGTTCTACCAACGGTTTGAAAACGCAAAAAATGGTGGAGATACATTTAAGCTCGCTAAACAATGCCACAAAAATGGTCTGGATATTAAAATAAAAAGATGAAAATGGCCATTTTTTAACAGAAAATAACAAAATCGGACGCGATCGCGACGGTACTAATATTACGAAAAACTGAACGAAGAATTCCCGAGTCAACCATTGAATATAACCCCAAGCGTAGCTGGGCCATTGAATAAGATAGGTATAGAAGAGGTCATAAGAGCTCTTGAAAAGATAAAAAACCATAAAGCAGTTAGGCCCGATAGTATACCCGCTGATCTATGGAAGCTACTGGGGCCTATTGCAGTACAGTAGCTTACGAAGCTCTTTAATCAAATCTTAACCTCCATGTAGATCCCAAAGTCCTGGCCTCATAGTTATCTGGTACCTTTCTACAAGAGCAAAGAAGATGTCGGTGACCGGGGTATCAAACTTACTTCCCATACTCTGACACTATGGGAGCACATACTCAACAACCAACTTGGTCAGTTGTTGAGTATGTGCATATCTGATAATAATCAGTGCAGTTTTACGCCAGGAAGACCAACGACTGATGCAATCCAATCCATAAGGATTCTGATGAAAAAACACTGAAACAACAGAGAAGACCTGCACCTAGTGGTCATGAACCTGGAAAAGGCTTTTGACAGAATACCAAGTAAATTCGTGTTGGAAGCTATGAGAGCACAACAAATATCAGAGCTCTATATTCACCTGGTACATGATATGTATCAAGACATAAGGACACAAGTGAGAAACCTGACAGGACTTAGCGAACCGTTCCATGTTAAGGTCGGAGTGCATCAGGGATCGGCATCAAGCCCATTCCTATTTAACCTATCTCTGGGCTATCTAACTAGAGGCCCCCATATCAGCAGGAGCAAGACCGAGTTTTTTGACCAAATTTTGAGGTGCATTAGTGAACAATATACGTTCAACATAGGTGTCTCCATCGACGGCCAGCCACTGCCCTACGTCAGCAAATTTAAATACCTTTGTTTAGTGTTAACGGCGGATGACAATATTGATGCAGACGTAACTCATAGAATTAATGCAGCGTGGCTAAGGTGGAGAAAACTATCAGGAATACTTTACGATAGCAGCCTGCCAATACAACTAAAAGGTAAGATTTACAAAATGGCTGTAAGACCTGCCTTCGTCCCACCAGCATTCGTCACCATATTATATGGTGACGAATGCTGGGTGGCCAAGAAGATAAACGAAAAAAAGATGCACACGTATAAATTAAAATGCTACGATGGTCAACAGGCTTACGCCGAGACTTAATAAAGAGCGCAATTAGTACATCAGAGGCTCCTTTAAAGTTACACCCATTTTAGACAAGATAGGCGAGAGTCGTATGCGATGGTATGGGCATGTATTTCGGCGGGAAGAAGAACACCCAGTGAGGAAGGTCTTGGCAATTCCAGAGAAAAAGAAAGACAGGAGACACTCGATAGCCACGTGGTGGACAACCGTATCGAAGGATCTGTAACGAGCACAGCTTGAAATACAGACAACCCAAGATAGAAAATCTCGGCACATAAAAACAAGGAGAGCCGACCCCAAATAAAGGGAGTAGGCAAGGAAGAAGAAGAAAATATCCCACATATTTCTCACATTTTCTTAAATAATATTTATGTAGTTAACTATAATTTTAACAGCGAACAATAAAGTTATAATCATTCTTTTATGGCATTAATTTAACGAAGACATGTTATGAGCTATGAGTTATAACCAAGTTTATTTTACTCATATGAGCTATATACTGAAAAATTTAAGTATTCATCATATTGCTTTTTATTATTCTTCTGACTGAAAGGCTTTAGGTATGTTTAATACGATGTCTAGGTCTAAACTAATAATTGAAAACAGCTTGTTTTAAATTAGTGGAAAGTGTTACGTAAACAAGGATTTAAAATAAAAATATTAATTTTCAATATTGACAGATTTCAATCAGCCGATAGTTACGTAACTTCTTTAATGTGACTATAGTAATTATTTGTTAGTTTAATTTAGAATATTGTACTGAATACCTGAAGTAGAATAATTAATTTTAAGCAAGATATGTTTGCAGATCTGAATATAATAATATCGCTAATGTAGCAGGCACAAGCAGTCACTGAAATATTTCCATATAAGATATTGGAGCATGAATATTTAAGACTAATCGAATAATTTGGGGAGAAGTTTCGTTTGGGATTTTGTTCGTGTAACTCGGTGCTTATGTAAATGTAAAATATAAGTTAAAGGTTTGCTATCTATGTATTTAATGTATATAACTGCTAAATCGTAAGCCTTGTGTTCAAAATGAAACTGAGAACAATTTGTGCACAAATTGTTCTCAGTTTCAAGTGATTTTTCTTGTTAGTTTTCTACCAAAACTACCATTTTCAACTATATTAAGCTGTTATCTACTGCGCAAGGTGTCACAAGACTACTCACTTACACTTATCCAAAAACAAGCATTGTCTGCTAGATGTAACACTTATTTAATAATCGGTCATAGTCAACAGAGTGACACAGCCATTTCAATCAAACATATACCCAAAGAACGAATCATTTGAAATCTTGGTCTAAATTTGACTACTAACTCTATATAACTGAAGAATAAAATACAGCAGAGTAGAGCAAAGCAGAACAGTTTAAAATACAACAGAGGAGAACAGAATAGATCCCTCTCAGCGGCTACTCGCCGCCTGCGCCCCATTTCCCTCAAGGGGTCGCTTCCGATTCGGCCGGAAGGCCATTCAGGCCAAAGCCAGTCCTACAGGTGGTGTTTAGTGGGTAGGCACTTCATAGTGAGACCCACATAGTATTAGCTAGCTATAAGCATTCACCACCCCCCTCCCCCGCTTCCGGAAGGTAGCCTTGCTGCTATGGGCACAAAAAAAAAACAGGATAGAACTGAACAGAATAGAGCAGAATGTATATAACAGAATAGAACAGTATATAATGGAATGGAATAGAATAGGATAGGATATTGTGGGATAGGATTGGTTAGGAAAGATATGATAGGACAGGAAAGGATAGAATAGAATAGAGTAAAACGAATATAACATAATAGAATAGGATACGAATGTATTCGGATGTGGATGTGACGAGTTGGAATGAGATGGGATGGGGTAATTAGTTGACTCGACACAATTCTTCTCCACTCCACTCACCCCACTCCATTCCATTTCATCCAATCTCGTCCCAACTCCTAAGATAGAATAGTATTGAATAATTATTTTCAATACTAAGTCTCACAGAATATCAGCGTAAAATACCAGAATGATGCTGGTGTATGTCGGTGTGGGTAGTAAACTTGAGAACTGTTTTTCAGATAACGAGGCATGAACGCACTCTGTGTGCTCGATTGTCACTCTTATTCTATTAAGAGACAAAGCTGTGGATTTTTTTCATATTTCATATTGTTAACATTACCATTATATTGACCAAATAAAAACACGATTAATACTTAAACTGTCCAAATAAAATAATACTTATAGGGTAATGAAAGGCGATATATGAATTAGTCAGGTTCTCTAAACATTTAATTTAATAACTTTAAAACATATTTTATGAACGCATGTAGTAACAAGCAATCTGTGTCAGTCATTAATTTCACCAATATAATCGTAATAACAAGTTGGTTAACCACATACTGTGCTTGAGCTTTTAATTACATATTTGGTAAGTACAAATTCAATTAATTCAGTTATGATTTTACGGATTAGTAAGCTGAAGTGGCAGTGGGCCGGCCATATAGCTCGAAGAACCGACAACCGATGGGGAAGAAAGGTTCTCGAGTGGCAGCCTCGTACCGGTAGGCGAAGTGTAGGGCGTCCCCCCACGAGATGGAGTGACGACCTGGTAAGACATGCAGGAAGTCGATGGATGCAGGTGGCTCAGGACCGTGCTTTGTGGCATTCTTTGGGGGAGGCCTATGTTCAGCAGTGGACTTGTGAAGGGCTGTAATGATGATGATGAATGATGATGATTTTATTCACTGATTCACTGATTTCATTGCTGAACTCAAAACCATCCTGACAAATGTCACTTGCTACAAATGAATCTCTCGCATAATGGGAACATTTGCATGTGAATTAGCCACCGCAGATCAAGGTCACCAACAAGTCTTTCTCCGTGAAGTGGTGGGTAATTATACCCACTAGCCCATAGACACAGCCTTTTAACAGGCCTCTCCATTGAGTCCATTAAATCGTTTATGTGGTAGTGCTTAACAGTGCTCGATACACTACCGCGCTTTCTTTTTTGTTTATAAAAATTTTTCATGGTAATAAATAATATCCAATAAGTTTTTCTTAGGCATATGATGCGCTCTACTATATTATGTATTTATAGTTGCACGGTCCAAACGCGAAGCGTAGAGGTGTGGGGGTTTGTTGTCAATTTGTCATTGTCACGCTAATTGCCATTTTTATAGTTTTTTTTTGTTTTTCCCTAACACGAGAAAAAAGGACATCAATAGTAACATGAAATACAAATGAATGAGCATGATAATTTTATTGCGTTTTGCAATATATTACAAAGTCAAATAAGAAATAGTCTTTGGTAAAACTAAAGTGACAAATGTACTTACAGTCCATTAGATAGTAACTATCATATCTAAATAATATAAATAATATGTACATATATTTAGAGTGTTCATATGTCAATTACATTAATGTAAATTTTGCTTGCGCTCACATGAATATCGTTTTAATAGTCGTACGATTATAATAAATTCCGTGTAAAAGACAGATTTTACGAATAACTTAAAATTTATTTCAAATTTATTCATCTCATTAAAACCCAAACGATAACATAAAACACACGCGAACTGTAATAAAAGTAAAATGTCGCGCGCTTAAATAATGAAAGTAACTTTTAAGAATTAAGCTCTAATTGTCAAATTCGCCCTGCAATGTTGTTTCGATTTTCGTTTATTCACTGAACTAATAAACTAATGCAGGAGAGAAAATATGAAATATTGCTTTCCAAATTACAAGAAATTTATTGACAAAGATTTGAATAACAATTAACAATTAAATTAAAAATCTCATTAAAATAAATTTAATAACGGTAACATAATATTGTTCTTAAGCAATATTAACGTGAAATACACGTTCAATCAGAGTTCTCTCCAACTCTAACAGAATCATACAGACTGGTTAATAAATGTTCATGTTATAAAACTTTTGGTCCCTTTGAGTTGATTATATGTCTATACTGTTGTATGTGTATGGGCCACAACATCCACTTACCATCAGGTGGATTGTGTGCTCGTTTGTCACATTTATTCTATAAAAAATATGTCAAAACACAAGTTAAAAATAATGTGGCTTTAATGTTTATAGTATTTTATATTTATTATATTTTGCCATCTTAGTGATAGAGTTTTTTTATCCCAATTTATATGGGACCATTCCTGAGGTAAATATCATATTAAAATCGCTTTAATCGGTTAAAAAAAGAATATACTAAAAGTTATCTCCTTTTTTGAAGTCGGCTAATAAAGAAAAAGATTAATTATTATTAAAAGATTAAATATTGTAAAGACACTTTTCGTAACTATGTGTAAGGCCGTACAGAAAAGCGTAGTCAGCAAACCTGCAATTTTGAAACATTATAAATATTTTTATTTTTAAATTTATATTTCCAGAGCATGTAAAATCTACCAAAGCGCATTCAAAAATAAATGGACGTTAATTAACATTCCCGCACTGCATCGAAAATAATGCCTTAATGTTCTCCAAAAGCCAATAATTTAAATGTAATATCAAGCATGACCTAATTTTAAGTTCTCAACTTAATTATTTCAATGCGACTAGAAATTTGTTCGATTTTGTTTAGGAACAACGAATAATTAGGAAGTTTTTGTTATTATTTAAAGTTCCAGTTTTTGATTATCCTAAAGTATGATTTTTCTGCTGTTAACAGATTTCTCGCGTATTAAAAGAACAAAAATGACTCAATCATAAGATCCATAGGAATGTACAACGTTCATGGAACAGCTATGAAATTTGACATCTGTCCAGATCCCCAACTAAACCCGTTCAAACTTAACAGTTGAGGTTTTACAATGAGTGATATGAGCAGCGTCTTCCCTGATTAACGTAAAATTGCCAAAGTTTTGCCTGTATATAAAAAAAGGACCAGAGCAAACTCAAAAAACTATAGACTTATTTCCTTACTGCCAATTCTTTCAAAAATTTTCAAAAATTAATAAAAACAAGAATCTTGACAAGACATCTCTATGAAAGCGACATACTAAATAAACGGCAATTTAGATATCAGGC